TAGGGCCATCTATACTGACACTTGTAGAATCCAAACTGACTGACACTTGTAGAGAATTTACTGTAGTTGGAATTTAAGTAGAAATTTGTAGGATATACGAGGAACTTTTAACCCTTTCCCTGTTGTTGGCGTGAAAATTCTGCCGCACTGTGCTGTTGGTGAGTTTTGGCACACTTACAGCTTAATTTAATCCTTCGGTTTTGCCCTTTGTGCATTTCCATCTTAATTTAACGAGAGGAATTTTTTTTAAAAAACGCCAAAACGAAAGATTTTGCCTATAATCTGCCGCAGCGAAAGGGTTAAGGTGAGTGTAGGAATAGAGTCGACACAGTTTGATAATCGATTGCGATGGAAAGATCATTTCTCTGCTGGTTGATCAGGAATCGTATCCCAGACCAGAAAGCTCTCTGTTGTGTATCGCTTGCCACGGATAGTGCATTTTCCCCCCGAATTTTGCGCTTAAATTTGAATGTAAATTTTTAAATTCGAATCTAAATTTTTAAATCGGAGCTTTCCTTTAAATTTTCAGTTCGAGAGTACAAGATAGACGTAACGGTGTACCCCAATGATTTTCTCTTAATCCAATCGTGAGAATATTTAATTCGAAATAACGCAATACTACGTATATCCATCGAATCTGGGACATATTAACACAGCTGACAACAAGAGAGCACCTCAGGCCGAATTGAAACAGTTCCATCACCGACGACGCGGAGCCTGACGAACTCGATGACGCTCCGGCGTCCCGGTATCCCCGAATCGCGTCACTCGTCACGTACGCTATGAAACACAGGCTCTCCCGTGGGAAGGTTGGACGAGAAAAAAAGGACGACGGTTTGGCCGTGAGAGATTCGTTGAAAAAGACGGTGACGGCGACGACGGGTGGGAATCGTGAGCCGGTCTTTCTCGAACGCTTAGCGGGAAAATTGCTGGGGTGCATTGATTCGTTTCAGAGGCTTCCCGATTCCTTGAAAATTATTACCTTTCGACGAGATTCCGTTTAATTCCACTGGCACGGCTGATAGAAACAATACAACGCCTCCTTTTCCCCTCGAGGCAGCTGGACTGTTCCCTCCCCGCCCCTGAGAAATCCGTGATTTATGAGGCAATAACGAAGGATACTTCCTGCGTGGCGATTTCAGGTTACGTGGCTGCAGCAGCCCAGCAAGGACCTGTTTCGTCTGCTCACCGTTGGAATGACACCTTATAGCGTGGACCAGAGGATCAGTCTCAACTTCCGGTGAGTGAAAGCGATTAGAATACGATATTTTATGAAACGTCTTCGACTGACTAGGGTCACGTTAGATTTGGGTTGGAATTGAATTTTAAATCTTAAGATTTTAACTTTACCATCGTTGTTAATTTTTAACGTGCAACTAATTTCCATCAAATCTAAAATCTTAAAATTATTAAAAGTTCAACATTTCAACTATCGATACCAGTGAGACTTGTATAGAAAATTAGTTGTAAAGTGTTAGGATGTGCTCGTGGTAGTTGCAAAACAACTTTCGAGCCTTGTCGATTTTTGCACGTGGTGTGCCGAGTAAATTTAGTAGGTTCGTTTTTCGAAGGACCACCTCCGTGTTTATGAGGACAAACAACTATTACTATTGACTAATTTCTCAAGAACGACTCGTAGCGTGGTCAGGTGAATTCTGTGTATCGTCTCCGCGAAAGGTCCCACGGCACCTCCGAGCGAGGATGCATCGCGGGGGTGAGGCCCTCGGGTAGGCTGGAAACATTTTTCGATAGTGGTGGGGAAGGGTGGTTGGCGAAAACTATTGGTTAAAATCATAGGTGGGAAAAACTACACGAAAATGCCACCCCCCAGACCATAGGTCACTCTCAGGTACCAAGCGTACCCTTGAGTGACGCACGCGGGAATTCCGAGTGCCTCGAACAATGACCGTAGCAGACAATAACGTTAAGACGCGCTTCGGCTCTGGTGATGACCATATGGATGCAAAAATGCACAAGTTAAAAAAAGGGGCGAAGATTCTAAGTCGAAAACGAGACAATAAAAGGTAAAAGCAAGTTCTTAGACTGAAAGACTATGATTGCCGTGGTGTCATAAAATTACTGCTGCTACGAAACGAACGAAGGCGAAAAAGTATATACAATGGAACTACATGCTAAGAAAATCTAAGGGTCGGGCGGCCGGCATACCTGTCGAGGATTAAACGTACAGTTAAAACGTTGGACTCTAAAAATGCATAATTACGGTAAAGTTAATAGAGACACCAGAGACTTCTTTAGATCTCGAAATTATTAAAAGTTTTCATTCGTCGTTCCACTTAACGGAATAGAAGATCTCGTTGAATGCTGGAATAATCTGGGAATCGTCGTGTTAGATATCCGTTTTCGAAAAACGCGGGGGCGATTTGCATTCGCTTAGATCGGAATTACTGCAATTTCGTGCCAGTCGAAGGCTTGATTGAACCCCGGCATCCACGGGACGCCGCTCTATCTTTATCGATTTCTGCGTCACGAAACGCCGTAAAGTCGCGTTCACAGTGGTATCTTCTGTCTGGGATCAAATCGCCCTGGCCTTTTATGTCGCGTCGTAAACGTCGAACGCATCCGAAAAAAAAACCGTGACGATGCATCGGCCAAATGAAATTTTTCCATTCCGCTGTTTCTGATCCCACAGGTATCCGAGCAATTGGAGATTACAGATACTGTACGCGACCCCGAGGGATTCCGGCTTATACAAGTGCCAAGTGGCTACGCATCCGCCGCTTGTTAAAACGATTAACGTCGTCGTTACGGGTAAGTGGACCCTTTCAAACGATATTCCCATTCGTTACCGTTATTTCCTTGTAGAATTCTGTTTCCGGCGTGGTGTACGATTCAGTTTAATGTACAATTGTGAAATCAGTCGTTCACAATCGCAGGGAATTATTTATCGACAATTTGGGATTAGAAAAGTAAAGATTTACGTGAGATTTCGAAGTGCCTGATCGTATAGGGTGTCGTTCTACTTAGGGTTAGCTATGCAGTGCTTGATTTGTACTACTTGGAGTACTTTGTCAGGTTAAATATTCGTTTACACTACTAAAAATACCTCAAAACTAAAGTATATAATTTTGTTCGTGGATTTTAAAGGTTTCGCTATAAATAATGTTATACTGATCGCCGCAATTATTGATTCGTACTACTTGCAACACGCTGTCAGCTTGTACATTCGTTTACACTACTACAAACACCTTAGAACTAAAGTATACAACCTTGTTCGAGGATTTTAAATGTTTCGCTATAAATAATGTTCTACTGATCGCCGAAATTATTGATTCGTACTACTTGCAACACGCTGTCAGCTTACATATTCATTCGCTCTACTGCAAAAACCTTAAAACTGAAGTATACAACTTTGTTAGAGGATTTTAAATGTTTCACTGTAAAAAATGTTCTGCTGAACGCCGCAATTACTGATTCGTACTACTTGCAACACGCTGTCAGCTTGTACATTCGTTCGCACTCCTACAAATACCTCAAAACTAAAGTACGCAATTTCGTTGGACGGTTTAAAGTGTCTCGCCGCAATTACTGATTCGTACTACTTGCAACACGCTGTCAGCTTGTACATTCGTTTGCACTACTACAAACACCATAGAACTAAAGTATACAACCTTGTTCGAGGGTTTTAAATGTTTCGCTATAAATAATGTTCTACTGATCACAGCAATTATTGATTCGTACTACTCGCAACACGTTGTCAGCTTATACATTAGTTCGCACTCCTACAAATACCTCAAAACTAAAGTACGCAATTTCGTTGGACGGTTTAAAGTGTCCGACTTACCGATCACCGCAGTGATTGACTCGTACTACTTGTAACCCACTGCCGATCTATACGCTCCCTTTTACCACCGAAAGGACTGCTTCTACTTACATATTGACCAATTCCACTTACTTCCTTACGAGCAATTACACCGTGACCCTCTCAATCACATCAAAAGACACACGGCGTTTCACGAAACGAGCAAAATCCTTCGCCAATCTTCTCCCCCCGAAATACTCAACCCAACCTTTTAACCAATAAGCCGAACTCAGATTGGCTCTCGTACAAAGCTACCCCGTAAGAACTGCAACATAATTAAGACACTTCCTATCCAATCCACTCTTCCACCTCCTCCTCCTTCTCCAATTTACCCCAATCTCTCTGCGATTTGCCCCAACAAGAAGAAAGCAGGGGCGAAAGGTGGCGGTGGTAAACAAAACCACGTGCGCCCGATAAATAAAATTCCGTCCCCTCGAAGCAACGTCGAAGATAGACCGAAACTACTCTTCTCGTCGACCCTCCTTCTACGGTTGCACAGCAGGAAAATCCTATCCGCGCGAGTAGGAGAGAGGCTTGACCGAGTCGAAACGAAGGGTGATTCGTTCCTCGAGGATTCTTCGAGGCGAGCGACATTCGAGACGGGTGAAAAGGAGAGAGAGGGTGAATAGGGTTAGGGAAGGGTTGGCTGGCGAGGTCTCGCGTTTCCCAATCCCCTTACGTCGCCAATTCGGTGCAATGGAAACCCGCATTTCGTCGGCTAAAGCGCCTCGTGGCCGGTAATCTGATCTGATCCGAAGAGGGCCGCGTCGGTGAACAAAAGCCGCCGTAAGGACGAAGTAGGGCAGAACAAACCCGGATAGACAGACATTGTTACACGTCTCCCTATCCTCGTCCACCCATCCCGCTGTTTCTTCAGTCGTTCCAGAGTCGTTCCTGTTGCTCCTCGTCGATTGTCCACCAACGAGCCCTTTGCGACGCCACTGGAATTTCTTTGACCTCTTCTTACTCCGATCCTTCTGATCTTTCGCTGAAATTCCCGCTGGTGGTCGAGAGGGAATATCTGGTTCAGAAGGGTTCAGATCGATAGAAGAGACTCGCTGGTCGGCCCTGCGATTAAATAAGTTTCGCCGGAAGACGATTTGTTCGGGGGATGATTGATAGAGGAGAGAGAGGTCTGACGAGTGATGGATCGTGCTACTTAATTCGGGAGAAACGTGTGAATGCGGTGTGTAGAAGGGTCGACCTTAATGATCCTGGGTTGTTGTGAATCTTGTTGTGTATTCTTCAACGTTATTTTCGATTCGTCGTAATTCTGTAAGTAATTGGAATAAAATGTGCAAGTTACACTCGATCTCTTTCGCAATCGCCGAGAGAAATGTCCGAGCAGACGAGCGACTTCCGTCGAATTAGAAGTAGCAAGAAACACCCTGTGATCCCGATAGCAGAATTACGTAAAACCGATACACCGTAAAAACACAGCTGGCAAAGAGAAGAGTAGACCGGGTTTGGTAGGATCGCATTTCTCGATACGAGACACTGAAGAAACCCGACAAGATCGAAACACGAGGAACTATAAGCTCGGAGATCCAGCCACTAAATCTCCGACGGGAAACGCGTCGAGTATACAGCGTATACCGGCAGCGAAGTAGCATTTTTACAAGCAGCCCGGCAATACGAAACGAGCTTTCCCGTGAAAAAAAGGCGAAACAAAGAAGATACAAGAGGGGGAGCGGTAACGAAAACGGCTGCACTTTCCATGTTCCGCGAAATTGCGTATTTGTCACGTTAGAACGGTAGTTACGCCGGAGACGATTTCTGGAACGTGTACCAGGCAGACGGTTTCTATCGATCATCGATACGATTAATACGATGATTGATACGCGTTCGTCGTCGACCATTTGTTAGTTGGCTACGAGGGCTGCGACAATATTTGCTACGAAGACGCCTGTTCCTCGCGAACAGGGACAATTTATTAAATCCTTTATTACGCCACGCTTCATTTCTTATCGAGAATTCTTCGAAGAGAAGCGTCCTTTTTTCTCTCCTCCTCCTCGACCTCGGGATATTTATTGGCCCTTTCCTCGAGATCGTTCGAGAGAATCCCACGGTTACGTCGAAGTGTTAAAAGTGGAACGGCAGTAGATGTTTTGGTTTTATCTTCGGAGACATAATTCCGAATGGAATTACGACAGAATTGAACGCGCACTGTGTCGGAATGGACGAACATGACTAGGATAAGAAGACAATACAGCGGAAGGATTGATTGGGCGAAGGGAGGGAAATGGGGGAAATGACGCAGACCGCATGAATGAAACACGACGTTCATCAATAACGCCAATGAATATTCAATCCCCGTGAAACCTGGATGAAATTTATTTAAAACTGCATTTAGTATTCATGAATGCCCACTGGGCGTCTCGGGCGTTGACAGTTCGTCATTGCCTATCGATCTTTCGTCTTCCTTCGGAGACTACTTGTGCGTATTACGTGGATGCACGAGGTAACTGGTCACGGAAATTGTGAAACGGTCAATTTTTCATGCACGCTTCTTGAAGATTTCGAAAATCGAAAATTGAAAAATTCAATCCGCAGTGTTTTGTGCTCTATTCTTTGTTTCTTAATGGCTGACACGATCAAATAGTGATAACTTATTAATTATTTTGCATGGTATCCAAACCCAAAGAAAAAAATAAATCGTCAATGTTTTACCTTCAATTCTTCATTTCTTAATGGCTGTCACGATATAATAGTGATCACTTATTAATTACTTTGCATGGTATCCAAACCCAAAGAAAAAAATTAAATCTTCAATGTTTTACGTTCAATTCTTTATTTCTTAATGGCTGACACGATATAATAGTGATAACTTATTAATTATTAACATTTTATATAAGACACTAGCTTCACACATCATATCCAAACACAAAGAAAAAATTAAATCTTCAATGTTTTACGTTCAATTTTTCATTTCTTAATGGCTGTCACGATAAAATAGTGATAACTTATTAATTATTTTGCATGGTATCCAAACCCAAAGAAAAAAATTAAATCTTCAATGTTTTATGTTCAATTCTTTATTTCTTAATGGCTGACACGATATAATAGTGATCACTTATTAATTACTTTGCATGGTATCCAAACACAAAAAAAAAAATTAAATCTTCAATGTTTTACGTTCAATTCTTTATTTCTTAATGGCTGACACGATATAATAGTGATCACTTATTAATTACTTTGCATGGTATCCAAACCCAAAGAAAAAATTAAATCGTCAATGTTTTACCTTCAATTCTTCATTTCTTAATGGCTGTCACGATATATACACAATAATAACAACGTGTTAATTACATATTCCATACAAGAGTAAAGGTGCTATAATGCCATACAATCTCCCTTCTCGCTAAACACAAAGAAACTAGTACCTAAATCGCATCGATTACACGACATGCCAGAAATTCCATAAATCCACGTACTTGAATCGAGGAACATTCTGAACCATCCCTAGAGTCTCGTCTCTCTTTACTCGTCTAAAATTAATTACCAGCAACAAACACGCCATCCGCGACGAACGTGGCAGCTGGAAAATATCAGCCACCGGATAGCACGGATCCACGGACGCGATCGTAAACTCCCGTTCTACGTGCCATTGGTCGAGAGCTGAGGATTGTTGGGACGTCGGAGGGACGGTTGTTTTCCGTGTCGCCGGAACGTTCGGCGTGAGCCCTCTTCTAATTAAAGGAGTCTCGAATTGCGCCGTTCCGGCGACGAGGCGGCTTTTAACCGCGCCACTATCTCCAAGTGGCCGGCTCGTTGGTAATGTTCGGGCCGCGAGGACCTCGTGAAACTCCCTTTGTCTCGTAACAAACGGACGAACAATGACTTTGCTCCGCAAGGGACGTTACGTTCGGCCAAGTCACTTTTCCACTTTGAACGTCACGCTTGGAAAAATTTACGCACGACCTTCTGCGCTACTTAATAGATTCCCTCG